GCGATGAAGCGGAGGGCGAGGTGGCGGCAGGGTTGGGGACGCGGGGACGGGGACATAGGGGGGACGAGGGGGATGGTCTTTAATTTCTGAGTGGCACCGTGTAAATAGGGTTGCACAGAGTCAGTGGCCGGTGGGCGGCAGCGCGAGGGGGAAATGAGGGTGCTTGGGGTGGGACAAGGACAGACGGGGTGGACAAGGATGCTTGGGAGGGACAAGGATGCTCAGGTAGGGATAAGGATGCTCAGGTAGGGATGAAGAGGACGCTCAGGGAGGGATGAGGACACTAGGGACCAGGGCAGTTGGGAGGGAAGAGGACACTGGGGAGGGACAAGGATGCTCAGCAGGGGTGAGGACCCTGAGGACAAGGACAGCTGAGAGGGATGAGGATGCTTCAGGAAGGATGAGGATGCTTGGGGAGGCCAAGGACAGTCACAAGGGATGAGGATGCTGAGGAGGGACAAGAATGCTCAGGAGGGATGAGGACCCTGGGGACAAGGACAGTTGGGAGGGAAGAGGATGCTCGGGAGGGATGAGGACACTCAAAGAGGGCACAAGGACCTTTGGGAAGGGCAAGGTGGCTTGGGAGGGAAGAGGACGCTTGAGAGGGCCAAGGATGGTCAGGGTGGGACAAGGATGCTGAGGAAGGACGCAGATGGTCAGGAAGGATAAGGACAGTCAGAAGGAACAAGAATGGTCGGCCTGGTTGAGGGTGGTCAGCGGGACAATGACCCTGGTGAAGGACAAGGAGACTTGGGATGGACAACAGTGTTTGGTTTGGATGAGGATGGTTGGAGTAAAGAGGATTCTGGGGAAGAAGGACAGTGGGGAGGGATGAGGATGGCTGGGGTGGATGAGGACGCTTGGGGAGGATGAGGATGCTGGGGAAGGATGGGGACTCTGGGGAGGGATGGGGACACTGGAGAAAGATGAAGACACTTGAGATGGGCAACGGTACTTGGGCTGGATGAGGATGGTTGGGACATAAGGATGCTAGGGAAGGAAGAGGACACCTGGGAGGAAGAGGATGCTGCGGAGGGGTAAGGACTCTGGGGAGGGATGAGGACACTTGGGGAGGACAAGGACACTGGGGACAGAGGGACACCCACCCACCCTGGTGCCACCCACCCTTCACGGGTGGCTTTTGCTAGCAGAAAGCCCCCTTTGGGCGAACCGCTTAATAAAGCTGGATTTTAGCCGAGCCGAGGGGACTCTGGCCTTGCTGTGTCCTACACCCTGGGGACTGCCACTCTCCAGTCCCTCCTGTCCTCGGCTCACTGCCCACCCTGGCCCAGGGACTTCCACTCCCTGACCAGCGGCCACCTGGAAAGAAAAGGGGACATCTTCCAGCACTCCGCAACAGGTAACACCCGGCACCGCCACTGGTGCCCATCACCCTTGTGTCGGGGCACCCCCCACCACTCTATGGCTGCCTCCATTCCAGCTCTTTGCGGGACCCCCAGTGCTGTCCCCCAGTCCCAGGTGGGGATGGAGACCCCAGGCGAGAAGACCTCCTCCAAGGGTGATGGTGGCGGTGAGGGACCTGCCAGGGAGAAGGCAGGAGATGGTGGCATCACCATGGTGTCATGATGGGGCCACCTCTCCCGTAGAGGTGACAATGCTTGGGGTCAGAGGAGGGGTCTGGGGACTCTGCTCTCACCCCCGTAGCCCCCATCGGTGTCCTCGAGGCCGAAGCAGAGGCCATCGACAGCCACTGCCAGCACCCGGGCGAAGCTGGCCTCCAGGAGGAAGGAGCCATCACAGGAGCTCAC